CACTGCTTCCTTGTACGTGTCTGGACTTTTATCAAGCTCATGCACCTGTCTCTTATACACATCTAGATGTGTATAAGAGACAGTATCTACACTATAAGATCTATATTATTACATGACTTATGCACGTGATTATATTTAAAAGTATTGTATGAAATCGTATGTTGTTTTGTCGTATTTTTTTGCTGCCCATTCGGTCCAAAAGGATACTTAATTACGAATTCATGATGGCGACACGTTTTTTTTTAACTTTTCAAATAACAGTGACTTAATTAATTGATACGTTTGGCCAGGGCGCAGCCTGACTTACCATGCCTGTCACCTCCTGCAGGTGTTGGTAACTCTAGCGATGTGCCTCGAGGCTTGGGAGCTAACCTGACTATACCCTATACCTGTCCTGCCATCCAAGTAGTGGCAACTCGGACATCGTGCTTCATGGCTAGGCATCGTAAATCCAGTGGCCAACACGAAACATTCTCTGCTGAGATCAGTTGCATCAAAATATTTGGTACATCAAACCTCCCCACACCAATTATCGTCAGGGGTTTCAATTATTTTATGAAGATATTATTGTGAAGTCAGAGTGAACACTGGGATTGTAGTTACAATACATGATAATATTAACTATATTTATAATATGAAATTATCGTGGACGTACTGAAACAGCGTAGTGTTGACATGCAGAACTTATGGTGATTTAACTCACTGTTTTGTGCATGACTTCAGCTTATGATGATTTAAATTTCAATCATTATGGCTCACAAATCCCGGCTTAAAATTATCCCTGCATAAATTTAACGAACATTAAATTCCTAAATTAATTTCAAACATGCAATTACGATAATTTCTCAGATTTATCCCTGTCTCCAGTATATTATTTTATGTTTTATAGCTATATATGTATTTTTTGAAAATCTCAAAAAATAAAAGGCAAGAATGTCATGGAAGTCTTATTAATAAAGGTAGAATGGAAGTCTTATCAATAAAAACTGTTCATTAACTTTCTTTTCAAAATTTTATATCAAACAGATATGCGCAACGAATGTATCTGAATGTAATAAAAATATTATTGATTTGGTCTATTTACAGCTTAAAAGACAACGCTAAGCGCTTGAATTAACTCGCCAAATAAACCAGTTTTAAGCAGCTAAGCATCGGAGTCCTTGAAATTAGAAACTCTAGTCAGCAGCTAGAGAGGAACTTTTCCCTAGAGCCTGTTTGACGGATCGAGATACCGGCGGATCTGTCCAGCAGCGGCCGCCTCCATGATCCTGCTTGCGGTATGACGCTTGCGAAAGATTTTCGTACGTTCGGTGCGAAAGTCATTGGGTAGTTTGCTGATTGTGTAGAACTATAGCGAAAATTTTACAAGTAACATTTCCTGCCACACAAATTTTAGGATTATTTCTTATCAAATTAGATTCAGACACTACACACACGCACAGTCGCAAAAAAAAAACATGTTAATACAAGGCATGGAAATTCAAATCCATTCCCGTAATTTCTGCAAGCGAATTTCAGTAATTCATCGGCAATTATGCTTAGTGCAATGTGAAGTGCAATCTGAATTGGTTTAGTGATTCAGTTCAATAACATATCTAACCATTTGTACGTTTAACTTCCGTTTAAACACGAGCATCAAAAAGTTTGCGCCTGCTGAAATACGTTATTGAAACAAGTCCTGTTTTAATGACTTTGAATTATTGTATCGAAAGTTTCAACGTTGCCGAACACCGTTACACGCTGTTCTGGTAGAAATGCCATCGATTGCTAGCTTCCACTATTGCATTATTGAGAAGAGATTACCCAAAATTCAGCAAGTTTGCGTATAATCTCATCCTGAATTGGTATTAAGATATAAACTGGTTGTGCATTGTGCAAATATTGGTTGAATAGTAAACATTAAACATCAATCATCACTGATAATAGTTCATAATCAAGATTACAGTTAATAGAACTATTTAAAAATTAAAGGAACCCAGCAGCTTTTTATAAAGGAAAATTTTCGCCGTAGTGATTATACAAGGACAGATATGGTGTCATAAGTTCTCTAGCATGCAAATGGAATCGTTTGAAATTCGGAATTCAAATGAAAAGTATGCTCTCTGCTCACTAGTAATGGACCCTTATAATGATACACCGTATATATAAGCCACGTTAATTTTTAAACCTAACTTATTATATTCATTTATCATATTTTGTTTATAGCTACTCACGGAAAAGAATGAAGTCATTGTGCCGGGAGTCACTGTTTAGCCAAGAGCAGAAATCGACGTGCAAGCGATGAGAGATGCCGGGTTGTGTGGTGAGGTTGACTTGAGCTAAAGCTTTTATAAGCGCCAAAACGAATGCAACCTTCAATGCGTTCACTGATCCCGAATATCTTTGCAGCAAAAACTACTCCAGGTTATCTGCACTTATAGCGAACACTGATGAGCAAAAGGTGATTCCCGGCACCAAAATTTCAATGACGTAAAACAAGACTGCGCTTAGTGGACCAGATTAGAAAGTTGGCTCGTGTAACCTTTATGTTTGGGGTGCGGGGAAGAGTCCCCAAAGAAGAGAGTTTGTAAAAACGTTCTGCGCAGCCAACGTAAATTGGTGCATATCTGAAGAACGTCCTGCTCCGTACGATCAGAGGCTAAAGTTGCGCAACGTCCCGAACGAATCAGCGTTCAATTCCTGGAACTGAATTAAAGGCCAAATGCATTGTGCAGCATCTTTATATTATTCTCCCGTGTTATGATTCTTTGGCGATGCCTACAAAACATCGACTCATATTCAGGTTCCAACTAGAACGACGTTCTACACAAGCATATACCTAAGTATTTATTGTACTATTTTGGAAAACAATTCCTAAGTGAAATGGCTCCATGAAGTTTTCATATAGCTCAAGGTGTTTCATGGTCTTTGTAAGGTAACAAACTTTATTTCCTCTGGCAAACTCATAGCATATATCATTTATTAAGCAAAGCAGGAAGAGCTATTCAAAATGAAATGAGCCATTGCCTCTTGGAATCGAATCTGTATCTATAAACTCGTGTCCCTAAGTTATATTTCTGGGAAGATTGTTTTTATTTTCTGCATTGCCATCACACACTGCTTCCTTGTACGTGTCTGGACTTTTATCAAGCTCATGCACTGTCGTGTCAATAACAAGTATGTAACTCCGTAATATTGTTCAGTAGCTGGTTAAGTGATTTATTTTCATACATTATAACATTTCCGTTCACGGACACCAAATAAAGAAACTTAGCGGGGCGTATTCCAGTTTTTTCCAGCGAGAGATGCCTTCCTATCGGATTTTTTTGCAAATTTCGCGTTTTTAGTTAAGAAGACTAAACATTTTTTCAGTTACTTAGATGAAAAATTTCAACTGCTTTGCCTGCTTCCTCAATTTCGATCATATAAACCACGGAAAACGAAGTTATTCAGACTATGGCCCCGATTTCGTCATGAACTGACCCAAATTTTGAGCAGTTTTCTGTTTATATATTAATTGTTTTTTTGATTAATTTCACATGAATTTCCTATCTTAGGAAGCAGAAGTTGTCTTCATCAGCTATAACGGTACACCTGTGAGGTGGTGTCAAGGAATATGTACAAAAGCATTTATTAACATAACGAATTTAATTTTCTTAAATTTTCACAAAAGCATCAGGAAGTGAATTATAAAATTCTGAGCGGTTCCATATTTTTATAAATGTATGAAACGTCCATTTTCATCACGACATCAAAATTATCCAACATAATCGGAAAATGGAAGTGTATGTCACAGTTTCATCAATTGCACAGCGGTGCTGTGGTCACCATATCACTACGGGCTTCATCATGTCGCCGAATGCACAGCTTCAGAGAATTTATGAGCTCAATTCCATGGTCTGCTTTTGTCCGTGGCAGATTTGTGATTACGTTGCTAAATAAATTACAAGTAAATGTTTTCCTTTACAATATGAGCTGATCTAATTTCAAAATATAATGTTCTCTTTATCGATAAATCCGTTTGAAATAATTAATTCGAACAATACTTTTATTGTAATTTTTTCTGGCAGAAGGAACGGCGTCGAGAGAACTATTGTTAAAACCTCAGAGAAAGTTTTGTAACTCATGACAGTTAAGAGCATCATATAGCTTTGATAACTTATGTTCAGTGTACGGATAGCAGTTCTGGAATAAAATAGAGGAGGCAAATCCAGCGAAACATGAATTTCACGAAGGCTTCTTCAAGTTCTACTCGATGTATATCCAGGTGTGTCAGCCACTGCAGCATACAGCCGTATGTCTATGTTTTTGTCTAAGCCGATCCTGGAATAGAAATTCTGTTCTCAAAGCTGATCTTCATTTGCGACAGTTTTAATAAATTTAAACTTATATTTACGACTAAATGACCAAAATTATTATGTTTCAAGGTCATAAAAAGTCATAAAAACTTTCGTTCATCTGATTACCAAATCTTAATATTATAACATCACAATCATATATATGCCAGGTTATATTCATTACACGAGTATGGAATCACTCACGGAGAGAAATGAAGTCGTTGCAATTCCAGCGTCATTTGTTAGACCACGAGCAGAAATCGACCTGTTATTGTGTGAAGAGATGCCGGCTTTTGTTGTGAGGTTGTTCCGCAGTTCCTTGCATTAAAAACTAACTCAGGTTCCATGAACAAGCCAACTTTGATGAGTTAACGTTGATTCCCGGCTCCAAAAATTAAGTGGCTGAGAGCTAGACCCCGCGCGGGATGGTCCAGATTTAAAAATGCTCTTCGATCTTGTGTCTCTGTATTCGGTGTGCGAGGGCAGAAGTCCTCAAGAAGTGAGCGCGTAAAAATGTTTTGTACAACAAACAAACGTTGTTGCATGTCTGAGGAACGTTGGGTTCCTTACGATCAGAGGCTGAAGTTGCACGTCGCGCATGGCTCCACGTCGAATAAGAGGACCATGCGACGCGACGGGTCATCCTTGCAAGACTGGTTTCACTGCGTCAAGTTACTCCTCCATGTCCTGTCACCCTGCCATGGATTACCCTTACATGACTGTTTACCCTGCGACGAATTACCAAGGTATGGCTGTTTACCCTTTGATGGGCTGCTCTACTCCTGGTTAGTCTAGGAAGTTTTGTTACCCTACATCGCCAGGCTTATCCTAGCAATCATTAAGTTACAGGGCTTTGTTCTGCTGGTTTTTCTGCTTGGCTGCAGCTCCTTGTTTGACCAGATTTGAATACCCTGGTTGACGTGCTGCTTGCCGCACACAACCTGCCGAGCCAAGCAGGTTTTTACTGATAGACCATTCACACACACAAAAGAATTTAATCTTAAAAATGAAGATTTTTATAGAATAATTTATATGAGTATAATTTCAGGAAGCCAACTATTTCGATCACTGCTTTGAAATCCGACAATATTCTCCTAGTTAACAGTGAATTTATAGCTGCAGCTTGACTGCAGGAGTGCTAATGCATTTATGTCTGACCACTAGGATTAACTTATTAGGCACGAAATACTATTATACAAAAATTAGAAAAATAATATAATTCACTTCAATGATTTCCACCCTTTGAACTCAACGCCATGAAATTTGACAATATTTCTTGAAGCTGCTTCTAAAATAAGTGAGCAAAAATCGATGCGAAGCAAAAATGAGCAAAAACGTAAAAGTTGTCAGGAATTTTACGCGCTAGCTAACACTGAACAATCAATAAAATGAAGAGAAAGTAGTGATGACAAATGTACAAAGTAAAAAAACATAGCGTAACAGAAATGTGTATTCAACTATTGATTTAGCTTAAATATAGAGAGAAAATCATCAAATAAACGACGGCCATTGTTATTTGAAACATAAAATTTAAGTTCGAGAAGTAATTCCAAAATTTACATGATTCAACGATGTTTTTATTTGAATCTGCCAGAGTAATTATTAATATCCCATTATCCGAACGGAACAAATTGTGAGAACAAATTTTAACGAAGCGAAATTCAATTGTTTCTACATAAATCGATACGTTGATTTTGAATTCCCAAACAAATTACGCCTTCCACACCTGAATTCCGTAACAGTTTTGTTCAAAGACTATATTAATTTCAATCAATTGACAAAATATAATTTTGTGTCTTATGCCCAATGATAAAAAAGTGTTGCAGAATCACTCAATGGGAATTCTATGAAGCTTATCGTATCGTAAATTCAGTAATATTGTTTAATTAATAATTAAATTAAATTAATTAATTAAGTAAAATTAATTTATTGATTAATTAATTATTTTAATTATATTTAATTAATTATTCGTCATTATATATATCATGAAACTTGTACAATAGCCCGACGCGTTGCCGAGAATCAATAATCTACACAGTCCCATTTTCACAAATCCCGTTAATAAGATTAAAATTACTGTATACTCATTAAAGAACGACCAGATCAAATCCATATTTTTTATAAACCCACAATTGACTCTTATTTCATAACATGAAAAGATTTTGCGTCTGTTGAATTAAATTTGTATAAACCAGTGTGAATATTAAAATTCATAATTGAATAAACCATTTACATCTAATTATACAATGGTTAATATTCTCGCACTAGAATAGGGTAACATGGGGCAGCGAGCCCTCTGCGGGTCACGGGCCCATAGCGGGTTTCTCGCTAAGTATGGCAGATATTGGTCCGTGTTCTCTACCGCCGGTCGACAGTTTCACTGGGATGAAGTGTACGGATTTACGTTTTGCTAAGTGTTCGCGTTATTAAGTTATTTGTGAATAACTGTTTTAGCCCAGATAAAAATTTTTTGCTGCTAAATAAAATTTTTTTCGGTTACTGTAGATGAAGCTTTTGAAATTACTGTGAATTATATTATTTTTGAGTTGTTATTAAATGAATGAATGTCATATTTTTTATTACATTTGTCTTATTTTCAACTGTAAAGTGTTGTTTTATCTTTCATAAAGAAAAATATTCAATTGTGGTAGAGGGACCAAAGGTGGGCGCCTTGCCCCAAGCTCATGGGCCCATTGCCCCAGGGGTAGGGCAATGGGCCCATTTTGACACTTTTTACAAAATAGTGTTTCATTAAAAATTGACTAACTCTATAGGGGTCTAATTCACATCATACATTCCTCATTAGTTGTATCTTTAAACAAAACAAGGAACCACCTCGTATCAATTAAAACTTCATCAAAAATTTAGTTTAAAAAAATTGTTGGGCGCGCTGCCCCATGTTGCCCTTACGTTTAAATCCCGACACGGTGTTTGAAATTCATGGATACGCGCTCGAACATCCCTTATATATTTACGATGGCAGGCTTCAAACACAAACAGATAG